GGACTAGGGGAGGGGGCGCGGCCCCTCTTTCCCTCTCCCTCTCTTTCCTTCCCCCTTCCTAGTAGGACTAGGAAAGGATGAATCCTACTCCTACTAGGAGGAGGATTCCTCCTCTCCTTGGGCGCCACTAGGGCCGGCCGGCCTCCCCCTTGCTCCTTTATATACGGGGGCAGGGGGGCACCCTAGGACACACAAGTTGATTGTTCCAAGCCGTGTGCGGTGCCCCCCTCCACTGTATTCCACCTCGGTCCTATTGTTGCAGTGTTTAGGCAAAGCTCTGCGTCGATAACTTCATCATCACCGTCCTCACGCCGTCGTGCTGACGAAGCTCTCCCTCGAAGCTCTACTAGATCGTGAGTTCGTGGGACGTCACCGAGCCGAACATGTGCAGATCGCGGAGGTGTCGTACATTCGGTACTAGGATCGGTCGATCGTGAAGACGTGCGACTACATCAACAGTGTCATAACGCTTCCGCTTACGGTCTACGAGGGTACGTGGACAACACTCTTCCCTCTCGTTGTTATGCATCACCATGATATTGCGTGTGCGTAGGAATTTTTTTTGAAATTACTATGTTTACCAACAGTGGCATCCGAGCCAGGTTTATGCGTAGATGTTATATGCATGAGTAGAACACAAAGGAGTTGTGGGCGTGGTATATACATATTGCTTGTCGTCACTAGTTGATTCTTGGTTCGGTAGTATTGTTGGATGAAGCGGCCCAGACCGACATTACGCGTATGCTTACGTGAGACTGGTTCTACCGACGTGATTCGCACACAGATGGCTGGTGGGTGTCAGTTTCTCCAACTTTAGTTGAATCGGATTCAATGAACAGTGTTCTTTCTGAAGATCAAAAAGCAATCATTATACCGCATTGTGGTTTTTGATGCATAGGTAAGAACGGTTCTTGCCCAGCCTGTAGAAGCCACGTAAAACTTGCAACAACAAAGTAGAGGACGTCTAACTTGTTTTTACAGGGAATGTTGTGATGTGATATGGTCAAGACATGATGCTAAATTTTATTGTATGAAATGATCATGTTTTGT